TATATTTTTCTTCTTTAAGAAAATATAGTCTATCAGATGTTAAATTCCATATCTATCTCTCATTTTCACGATATATTTAAATAATTCACCCTCAAAAAATACTTCTTTGGTTCTACCTTCCTATCCAATTATCACACTATCTTGCCCATTTCTTTCAGATGATCTCTTTCATTAATGCTCCCTTTGTCCACTTCTTGTGACTTAATTCCCCTGTGTTTCCCCATCTCTCTTGAACAGCCTCTCTCTCTCTCTCTCCTCCAAGGTCCTTAATGAAGTCATTGTTCTTCAAAATTCCTCTCAAACATGTCTTTTTACAAGCTTTCTACCATTAGACCATTGTAGCCTTGATGACCAAATACTGCAAGAAATACGGTAAGAAGATCAACACTACTTTGTCATTTTAGCACTATCCCCACTTCTCATTCCCTAATGCCACACCTTCTGTCATCTGTTGTCATCAGTCCTTGTGCTATTTATAGAATTTTGAGTTGCTCCCACAAGGTGCTGAATATGTCCTACCATGTTGAATTTGCAAGTCAATGAATGCAGCAGTACATTCCTCAGCACAGGGACTTTTTCTTCTCTGTGAAACACCATGCATACTTCAAATATTGCACGGGAGGTTTATAGAGTGCATACATGGACTTAACATGCTGTCAAACAACATCTAACAAGACAAGATCACAAGAAATAAGTGCCAATAGTTATGTTCTTATATTCAGATGTAGGCATCTAAATGAAGTGGCTTGATTTCCAAGAGTTATAAGCCCCTGGTTAGAAACTCTGGAGCTTAAATCCAGACAGTTTCTAATAGTGACTTGCAATTTGAACTAGTACTCCTCACTATGTGACTCTGATCCTGCAAGAAAGCTGGGTTCCATGACTTAGGGCCCCTCTACACATGCAGGTAAAGGTGCAATGGGATCTGACACATGATCCACGCAATTGTGCCTCCTGCCATGCCACAGGTATTTAGCAAGAGATGCAATTGTGGGATTACGAATCAGATCCCTTTCATGCCACATTGCCAGTGCAGCAGGAGCCCAATTCTAGGCTCCCCCTGCACTGGGAAAAACCTGACCTGGGCTTCCAGTCATTGGGGTGACCACAACTGACGCAGTGTCCCAGCTGCAGGGGTGCTCCGGAAACCCCCACAGCTGGGAGACCACAGCTGTCACAGCTGGGAGACTGCAACTGATGTGGTGTCCTAGCCTGGGGGTGCCTGGAGCACCCCCATAGCTGGGACACTGCATCAGCTGTGGCTGGGAGCTCTGTTACCTGCTGAGGCTCCCAGCTACAGGGGTCCCTGGTTACCTGTTCAATTAATGGTATGGTAGGAAGCAGCTACAAAATTATTACTTACATTCTGTGGAATAACTTTGTAGCTTATTCCTCTTTTTATCACACCATTAACTGATTGAACGTGTGGCTTGCTGACGGCTTAATGACGTGATTAACTGGTTAATCATGTCTTAAATGTGACATATAGATGGGGCCTTACTCAAGTCAGTAAGAGTGTGTGACTATGCAGTTCCTCTACCTCAACTCTCCATCTGAAGACCAGTAACTTACACAATTTCAAATACTGTGGAAATAATAATCCTTACAGCATCATTGTGTATTAGCTTAGTATTACTAGAAAAGACAAAACTGCAAAGGCAGATGGACTTGCAATTAAGGTGCTGGATTGTGACTCCAGACATCTGAGTTATGATCACATATTTGTAACACACTCCCACACACTTGGAAAAGCCCCCTAATCTTTGTGCTTCACTTGAACATCTGTGAAATGGGGGTACTACTACTTAGCTACTTCACAGGGATCTATGGTGGATACATCTATTAACAAATGTGAGGGAATCAGATTCTAGAGTGGTGAACTCCACAGCAAAGCTCAGAATTAAAGTATGAGCATTAAAATGAAGGTCCCTTGCACAAATATATAAAATCCCCACTTTTAAATGTGGAAACTGGGAGCCTGAACTGTCAGTTAAAAAGCTTTGGCAGATGCAATCCTGTTAGTATTTAATTCCTCTAAATATTCCTGCATATTTTTTCTGAGGGTGAAGAAAACGTCTGTCATTTGAAATGATTTGCACATACAAATACTTCATTATGCAGCAACCATGAAAAATCAGGCTTACATTTAGCACTTTGTTATTCAGAGTAGGGATCACACAGTCTGTACACATTAAAAGAATTTTTAGATGTGGCAAAGAAAGAACGCTTGGAACACTAATCTACTTTTATAAAACCTTTGCCTGATTAGATGGAGACTGAATAATAATTTAGACAGCCACAAGACTCTGCCTGAGGATGGCAGCTTCCATGTATAATGTGTTAGCATGATGTGACTTACAGAACCTCTGGACAAGTGTAGTGCTC